CATTGTATTGTGCCACGCCCAACAGAAATAACCCAGGTGGGGACTTTAAAATCAGGATCTCCTCAGTTGCTAATAGCAATTCCCACCTTGGAGTTTACAAAGACTTATGGGTAGAAAAGCCACACTAAGGAATTTACTACACTGCACCCAGCTAATCCATGGCATGAGGTGGCAACATTAATATGCAAAATAGCACCACCAACAGATCAAGTACTTTTGAGAAGTGAGGCTCTGATTGATTGCATATTTGATACTTTTCTGCAATTTTGTCAGCATGAGGAGCATAACATTGGTCCTACTTACACTAGACAAAGTGGTGAAAGAGCAAGATGAGTTCAGGGCTATTGAGTCACACACAGCTCAAGGGCTGCATAAAAGACCTCAATGTTTCCAGTTGTGCTGTGAAAGAAAACAGTATTTCTTCTAGTAACATAGCTGATATTGCTGAAAATCAAACCCAGAGTCTAATTGTAAAGGTGGCTGAATTATAATGCCAATTAAATTGCCAACCCACAATGGTGTCTGCAGTTAAAGTGCAGGCATTGATTGGGAAAAAATGGGATCCTGAAACCTGGAATGGGGACATATGAGCAGACAGTCAGGAAGATGAGGATATGGAGCCTGTAAATTCTGTTGAATCCCTCCTATCTGAAGAGATTACTATAAAACCATTATCCCTTCCACCTCAGTTTGATGGGATTAACCCAACTGTTCCTGCTGGGTCATTGCCTGAGTTATATGCCATGGAAGGCATTGCTGAATGTTCTCAGAAACTGTGCCAACCACCCATTGTTGCTGCTAGACCTATAACTAAACTTAAGTCCAAGAGGGCCCCAAAAGGTGAAATACAAAGTGTGACTGAGGAGGTGGTACACTACACCAAAAAAGACCAACTTAATTTTGCTAACATGTTTTTCTGGTTATCTAGTGCTGCTCTGATAACAATATGCCACACATGGTATGGCCTTAACAAACAGGAGTTTATTCTTTTACAGTTCAGGAGGCTAGAAGTCCAAGTTCTAAGTGCCAGGCTCTAGAGGCTGTGTGAAAGCCCCTTGACCTGGGCTTCAGCTCTGCCTCTTGCTCCTGGCCCACTGAAGCTAGAGGCATCTCTTCACTCGGGCAGCTACTGGCTGCTGAGGCTAACAAGCCCAAGGTTGATAAATAAGATGTCACAGTCCCGATGTTATCATTAACTAATATTAATTCAAGTCCATTGTAAGTCCCAAGTTTGGCAGAGCATGGCAGGCTGCTGAACAACAACACAGCTACATGCAGGGTCCAAACATGCCATAAACTAGAGACAACCCCCAAGACTTCTCCTCATATATAGAAAGCAGAACACATCCCAAAGGCAGCTACTCAGCTGCTTCTGGTAGATCTCACCACGGAGTTGATTGCCATGATTGCCATCATGGGGAATAACTACCACCAGCTGCCCAGCCACTCAACCAGGCCCAACCAAGTTGACATACAAATTTAACTACCACACATATACAGACAGAAACCTAGAGAATATGTACAGGAATGGCTACTGAGGGTGTGGGATAATGGTGCAAGGAATGTAACATTGGATCAGTCTGAGTTTATTGATTTAGGCCCACTAAATAAGGATTCTTCATTCAATGTTTCAGCTCAAGAGGTTAGGAAAGGATGGCTTTGGTTGGTTATTTGGTTGGCTTACTGAAGCATGGATTATGTGGTGGCCTACCTTAAGTCAAATTGAAGTACCAGAACTGCTTTGGCATAATGTAGAAGAGGGTGTCCAGAGGCTTAGGGAAATTGGCATGTCACAATTGACTTATCAGATTAGATCACTAGAGCCAGAAATGGAGAGTCCAAAAGACACACCTTTCACCACTACAGTGAGGAACAAGTTTGTAAAGGGAGCTCCAGCATCCTTGAAGACTGCTATGATGGCTATTTTATGTAAGCTGAATTTGACAGTGGGAACTGCCCTAATTGAACTAAGACGCTTAACTATGATGGGGCTGATTGGACCCTGTGGTAGTAGGGGCCAAGTAGGAGCAGTTAATCGACAAAGACAAGGTGGGCGTGGTAACCATAATGGACAACAGTAATCAGAATTACTGTAATTAGAATTACAAAACAGCATCAGAATTCTACTCTTGTGGAATTATGGCATTGGCTACTTAGCCATGGTGTTCCTAGGAGTGAAACCTACAAAATATTTACTTGATTCTGTATAACTCACTGCCATTGAGTTGGATCTGACTCATAGCGACCCCTCCTTGGGTTTCCAAGGCAGTATTGCTACGGAAGTAGATTGCCCAAACTTCCTTCCGAGGAGTGGCTGGTGGGTTTGAACTGCCAGCCTTCTGGTTAGCAGTCAAGTGCCTTAGTCACTACATGTTCTGGTTACCTAGTGCCGCTCTGACAAGAATATACCATAAATAGGATGGCCCTAACAAACAGGAGTTTATTCTCTTACAGTTTGGAGGCTTTAAGTCCAAGTTCAAAGTATCAGGTTCTAGGGGCTGGGTGAAAGCCCCTCAACCTTGGGTTGCAGCTCTGCTACCAGCCCACTGAAGCTGGAGGCTTTTCTTCACACAGCTGCTGGTTGCTGAGGCTGACAAACCTGAAGTTGACAAGTAAAAAGACACAGTCCCTATGTTACCAAACTACACAGCAGGCCATTAATTCAAATCCATTGTAAGTCCCAAGGTCAGCAGAGCATGGGAGGCTGCTGAACAGTGACACGGCTACATGCAGGGTCCAAGCACGCCATAGGCTAGAGACTATCCCCACGGCTTCTCCTTATATACAGGAAGCAGACCATATCCCAAAGGCAGCTACTCAGCTGCTTGTGGTAGGTCCCACCATGGAGTTGATTGCTACTGTCGTCATGGAGAATAACTACCACCAGCTGCTCAGACACTCAACCAGGCCCTGCCAAGTTCACATACAAATTTAACTACTACACTATGCCACCAGAGCTCCTCTTGATCTGTATAGACAGAAGAATTCTAGTTCACATGAACAGCAGTCTACATTGAGTTACCAGAATATAGAGTCAGGGCCTCTCAATCAGTTCTCAGACTTGAGTCAGTTTACAGATGCACAACCCCTTGAATGAAGGGG